TGGGTATCCTTTCCTCACTTAGAGGACGTAATGCGCTACAGGACGCTACGGTGAAGCAGCTGACAGCTGTGTGCGAGATTCCTAACACCCTTTAGATTAAAATAGGCGTCAGTTTTATTCAGTGACACAGTAACCTGATTATCTTATTAGCTCAATTTGTGACCATTTCTAAAACCATGTCCTCTCGTAATGTGTAGGCCTTTTATGGCGAAAATGAAAATGCGATGAGGGATTGAACCTGCCTACGGTAACAAAAATAGATGACGAGTTTTCTGCTGTTTGTAAATTTATAACAGAGTTTTGAAAGGACCATTTCAAGGAAGAAGAACTCTGAATGAGCAGGTTCATGCAGTGCTAGTGGGGTTGCGTTGCAGAAAGAGCGAATCCCAGCGGTTTTAAGATTTTGATGACCTGAGAATAGTGAGGGTCCGCCTATATTCCCTAGCTACTGTACTCCAAAACGAACACTAAAAGAACTTTTTGTATACGTAACGTACCGTACCTATGAGACTGGTTCTCGAACTTTCGTTTCATACCATCATTGCTCTTTTTCTTGATGGGTAGTTTGGTAATACCAAATTTTATGGACGTACAACATCCTTCACTCATAGACGAGTCGCAGACAGTGGACGAATCGCTCGTAGGTACTGGTAACATGCTAGGAATCATGGATCGTTGAATGATAAAGAAAAAAAGGTCCAAAAAGGTGTGCCTGCAATAATTACTCGAAATGAACACTTCGGATGATACCTAGATAGGACTCGGGTCATACAGAATCCTCTTATGGTGTTTTTTTTTTACCGTTGGCAGCTCTTCACCATTCACGAATCGCTGTTGTGGCCATCGTCGGTAGTCACTCTCCACGCATAACGAGGAGCAGTTGCTAGCAGTGAGGCCACAACTGATGAGTGGGAGGCATTACGTGGCGCAGGTGCTGCGTACGATAAGAAATGACTGGCTCGTAGGCGGATACCTCACCTATGCTTTACAGATTGTAGCAGAATGCATGGGAGTGAAGGAATTGCAATAGCTCCAAGAAAAAACTTGGATGTTGGAACTGGACTGACATCAGTTGCGATGTCAAGAGTGAGTTTGAGAGATACTGACCCCTTTTTCTCCTGCAGCAGAGTTCCTTTAGTATTCTCTTAATTTGAGACACCTGTAAGTGAAAGGCAGCTTATTCGGAAAAAAAATTACCCGAGATTGCTGTTGTATTTCATTTCGCTAGGGATGTTGATTGTGACTAAGATGAAGATGACTCGAGAGCTTTTAGTGGAGGTTGACCAAACATATCGTTTGGACCCAGGGTCACGATTCATTCGGCCCAATAAGGTATTTCATCCGAGATTCTGATTTGGAATCAGACCATTAGAGACGACATTTTTCACATTCACCTTCAAACCATAAGGCATAGTTAACGATAATTTTGAGATACCCCTTTCTAGTTGAAAAGCGGTAACAGAGGTGGGAATGGTTCCTTGCTAGAACAAACGAGAGCAAATCCGCCGATTTCAAGAAAAACATGGCTTCTTAAAAGAAGAGAAAATAGGGGTCGGACGAGGAGATTACCATGACGGAAATAACATTAAAGGAATTTTCGGACGAGATTCCTGTTGTTGCTATCGCGCCAAGAGCTGATTTCACTAGGTCAGAGCTGAGCAGAACTGCCTTCCACTGAGGCTAATGGTTATGACAAATTCTTTGGAGATCTTTCATGGGCTCCCTTGTAATTGATGCAGCCCCTGCAATGCCGGTGAAACTCGTCCGAGGATACGCACCGTACATTTTTGAGCCTTCGAAACGCCTTATCTAGACCGTTTTCGACCTGACAGCACCAGATATGAAACCAAGTACGTGGCGCAACTTTTACGACATGGATCAAATGATAACCAGCCTACTATCACTCCATTCCACAGCGCCCCTTGAATAGTCCATGGATGGCCTCACTATCAGCAGTTATCAGAGCTGAGGAATTTCTTGTCTACGCCACCTTCGAGAGTGAGGTGTATCATGTGCGGCGTTAGCAAACCCGCAACTGTCCGTTCTTTCTGCCGAATTGCCACAACGTGAATCATCTTGAAAAAATAAAAAAGGGAGTTCAAAACAATTCATATTCAACAGAAAACAAAACTGATTATCACACAATTTTCCCATTGCACGACTACAGCAACCCATACTTATGCTAAACTTAACGGAAACAAGCAATCCCTAATATCACATATATTACAACTAACATTATCGACTGAAAGCTGAAAATATTAATTTGCTATCAATCGACATGAAACTTTTCCGAAGAAGAACGAATAATTTTAGGTTAACATAAGTAGTGTTAACACAACAATCAACGAAGGCCAAGTAACACTTTCAACGGTATAATGGTAATTCTAATGAATAAATTATTTTTCTTGTCTCTCGGTATTACTGACATCGATAACTTCGGTCCATCCTAGGCAGTCCATTAGCTAAGCTATCTTGGCATCTGTCGCTGAAGCAAGGGAACGGCGCAATGGACCAAGCAGCATTTTTGAATTAGCAAAAAAAGCCTATACTGAAGCTGTACGTATTTGCAGTAGAAATCAAACATAAATTAGATAGAATTAGTCAACTGAAAGGAAGGATGATTGCGTGAACGGAAACAAATATTTCTAACGCGCATGTTACCTATATACGTACTGAATATACCCCAAACAGAATAATGATGAAAGCTAAGCTTTGGAAGCGTAAGATAAAAAAGTAATATTTCAAGCAAGTTCGATATCGATTTTCATCTGAGACTCCGGGCTGTCTGATGGTGTCCGAAACAGTTGAGCATGTTGGAACGCATTGTTTCCCGTCCCACCAGAGAATATGACCTAAAAAACAATCGCGATCGTGCACATCTTCTGATTTCGAAAACTTCTAATTAGAAGAAACCGATGAAAGCGCCCCTCTAGAAGCATAATTTATATGGGAGAAGCAGGTATCCGATTTCTGATCTCGGACATGGCTATAGAAGGATCGAGCTCAAACAATTCAAACATACTGTCAGCTACATGAAAAACAGAGGTTTCAGCCAAAATAGAAAGCTCCTCCCAAAAGTTGCAAAATTTCTGAGGTGGGCTCAAACTATTGATCTTCCAAATAGAGAAAACGATCTCACGCTGATTTTTAAAACAGCTGCAGGCACGTCGTCTATCACTAATTCAGTGGAACCTTTTCGAAGAGGATAGCATACCTGAATAACGAAAACTGTAGATTTAAGATGAAGCGGCCCAGTTGAATAATAACCAAAGCTATAGCACCTGGATCTATTGAAAATAAGTCATAGTCTTAATGTATGATAATCAGGTATGGCATATTAGAGGAGGCATCTTACTTGTATAATCCGCAAAATGCGCAACTCCAACCCCCTCCCCCCTTCCCCCTCAGAGATCTAAAGCGTTAAAATTTGGAAACGATACAGGCGCCACGATGGTAGCACCGATGATATTGATAGGAAGAGACAACAATATAGGAACTGATAAAGAGCGTTAGATGGTAAAATAATTAGAAGGCAAAGTTGCAGGATCCGCCACCTCTCCCGCGCTAACGGCTTTAGAAGGTGGTGTGGACCGTAGATATTTGTTAACAGAGATGGGTAAAAATGGTAGGGACTGATAACGAACCATAGAAGGAGAGAGCCATTACTTCTATGTATAACCCCTTCGTATTAACAGTGATGACTGGGCACCTTAGTTGGTGGTGTGGGATGTGAAGCAATCGTAAGTGATTCGTGAAAAAGACTAATAGCAAGCGACAAGGGCTGTCAAAGAGCCATAGAAGGCCAGAGCTGGACCAGTACGGCCAGTATGTAACGCTCCCCGGCTCGAAAGTGGAACCTTGGCTTCTCAATAGGTAATGTAGGATGTGACGGAGTCGAAGATACTTTGTGACAGGAACTGTTAAAAACTGATAAAAGCTGATAAGGGGCCACAGAGAGCAAGAGCCACTTACGATTGAATCGTAACGACTTTCATATTAATATCACTAGTGAGTGATCTCTTTACAACATTTGTGAGTACAATTCAAGGCTTTGGTTGCCTAACAGTAACAATGCGAAGAGCAAGAGATCATGATTTCCGATCATACGCATAAGCAACGGCATTAAGCTCTGCCCAGTTCGTCCTGTGTCAAATTTCGTGATCAAAAAAGTATCACTTGCTCCAAAGGAGAGCTGCTCGGTTAGCTGACTATAACAACTTTGTCATAAGGAGGAGGTAAGCCCGGCGTTAGGGAGCGATCCGACTGGTGCGGCTTAAGCCGTCAACCGAATAAATAGATCAAGAGCTCATGATATACTTGGTAGCAACAACGCATGAAAGCTGTAATGAAATCGAAAACTCACATCACCGGCACAAACAGTAATGTTAATTGAACCATCTTCGTAGACGGTGGCTCCAAAAACTTGGAGTTTGAAAGACTTCACCTTCACATCGCAGAGATTAATTGACCAAAAAAGCTAAAATATTTATACGAGAAAAAGGATGAGAAAGACTCAGAGAGGTCAACGCTCAAGTGAAAACGCCTCATGAATACGCTTACATATAAACCCACAAACTTTATTGCACGGGAAATTGGCTTATATAATGGTCGTTTCAGAATTCTGACACCGCTTTCATCTTATTACCCGTCTTTCAGTAGTTTGCCCGTCTGCAATGCTTAGTCACCTCCTGGTTGATAGGCTCATCTTTACGACTGCAAGTGTTATCAATCTTAGTTATTATCTGCTGGTTTATTGCAGACGACATGTCAAATTACTTGCAAACTCAACTCCAGAAACAGAAAAAGGTGCTCCGAAATCCCACACAGTTTTTTATGCATGCATAAGACCTCCCTGCTCATGGTAGATAGACTATTACAACAAAAAGAAAGAAAATCTTCGTGCCTGAACGAAAGCAAAACATTGATAGATTATGCATAGGACGGTTTCACTTGATTTGCCTTCCTTACTGCTGGATTATCGTTCGAATTCCCTACGAACTCTATTTACTCACTTCAGCTTCTTTTTCGTTCTCATCCCGACACAAGTATGTCATTTTCCAGTCGGATTCCTGTTTCCGTTGAATACTTCCTTTACGATTGGCGTAAGTCGCCCAACCTTTGATGGTTTCAGATCCTCGTGTGTAGCAATCTTGAGCGCAATTGTATTCCAAACTAGAAGCAAATGCTATAGAAACACGGTGGAACTAACACATATTCCCATAATAACTATGCCACATTTCCTTCTAACATAGCAAATTACTTAGGTCAGTCACATTAAGCGCAAAAACTGGATAGATGCAACTACCTGAACTTCTTGTTGGATATCTCTTCCTGACTGAGCGTAATTACAATGGGATCTTGGCTGGAGCTGCATCCCAGCTCCTGTCGTGCCATTCGCCACTCTTTATCACCTTGAAAGAGGTTTTCATCGAATTTCAGAGTTTACTTTCGATGAAAATCAGGTTTCAAGCATATGAAGAGTGAACAGACACTTACCGGTATATTAATAGAGATCCCAAAAGACTCATGTACACTTGTAGAGAATCATGGGCGNAAGTAGAAAGATGAGAAAAAAGGACCTCTGGGCACTTTACGTTGAAGAATTTGTAACAAAAGCGTATTGACGTTTCGAATGCGTACACACCCCATGCAATGAATGGCAGTGGTCAACTGTTGTACAAGTCAGTGTTTTCCACTTCCCGTTACCAATTAACTGACCCTGACGCAACGTAAGGGTAGTTGACTTGGGCCGATGTCGGCAGAGGGTGATGTCGAAAGAGTGCATACATTATAGACATAAGTCAAGATTACTTCAATTCGTTACACACCATACACAAGAACTACAGGCATCGTGGTCACTACAGGTTGCAACACAAATCACGTCTTACCGTCAGGGCTTATTACGTGAAAACTAACTAAAGCGAAACAAGTTCGAAGAATTACTTACCAGACAGGCGTCCACCATATACATTACCATCGTCACGCCTTTCGCCAACGACCAGAAACTCCACTAGCTCTCGTACCCGACGTCTTCTCAACTCCTTGGCTCGAGTAGGTGTAATGTCCGCTCCAGCACGCGAATTGAGTTTCTGTTGGTGATGAACGAAAACTGTGCAACAAATGAAATAAGAAGAAATGCTTTACCGACAGAAAGTTGCTTAGAGCCGATTCGCGAACTTTGTTACGAAGTTTCAAAGTTTTCCCCGTATCAAGGACATATCTCCAAGTTACATCGTAGACGTGATCGGTTCCAAAGGCAATTACATAGCTCAGGTTCTTACCCCAACCCTGAAATGATGCATAACATTTGCTAATAACACCAGAGTAGAGATGCAATTTGGAACCTTTTCATACAGCAAAGGCTTATCAATAGCATTTTCACAGGGATCACAGTGTACCCAATTATCGAACTCTGGGATCCATAGCTCGATCCAGACATGATCCGTAACATCATAAATGAATCTAAATGTAACTTGAAAGAGCAGGTACTAGAAAATAATTCATCAGCGCTTACCGAACATCAAAATCCATGGCAGAAGCCATCAAGCCAAAACAGTTCGCCCATTCGCCGCACCGACCTTTTCTTAAAGCAAAAAGGCATCCAAACAGCAGCGAGAACATTTGTGAAGCAGCAATTTCCAGAAATAGTACCTTGTTTCAAGTAGCTTCGCAGGGTCATTGTAACGTGGGAATCGTACTTCTTGACCACACGAACAGTTGTATATCTCCACTCTATCGGCTCCACTTTCGCGTTCTTCGATTGTAGGAGTACCTATAGACGAATAATTCTGTTTCTTCGCTCCTATTTATCTTTTTTAGAAACGTCTATAACACGAAGAAGACAAATCTCTACCTTTCAAACCCGAACCCTTCATTGTTTGATACCCACATGATTCGCAAACAGGACTGTCACACCACGAGAAGAAGTCATTTTTGAACCAGTCGAGTAATCCTGGAAAAAAGGCAACGGTTTATCGGGGTTTAATGAAGTTCCACGGATGAATCTGTCGACATCATTGCAAGCAAACTGTTACAAAGGTGAAAAACAGTGCAGAGCGTATTAATTTCGAAGAGCCCTGAACGGCAATTTTTCTACTGTATTTTCAGTCCCAACTTATGTTTACACGGATTCAAAATGAAGAAAGAACGAGAGCTAAAAAACCTTTTGCCAACTGGAAACGGTTTAGAACACCATGTTCGTCCGTGGCTTGCTGTCGCAAATCGTCAGCAGGAATCAAACTTATGGCAAGAGTTTTGTAAACAATATCCGAATAAAGCTTCACCTGAACTTGATTAAAATATAGTAGCAAGGCAGTCGTATAACACTTCAGAGACTTTGAGGACAAGCTTACTCTGTCAACGTATGGAACAAATTGTTGTAGGAACCGTTTTTCGCGATCGGTAGCGGCGTTCGGATTTGCAGGAGCAGAGGAATAGTGTCTGAATTGTAATCCAAAAATTGAACTGACAGCTCTCAAACAAAAGAAGTACACACACCGACTGATAGCCAGCTCCAATGCCTGCGGATTTGCGCCTTGAATTCGTTCCATTTCTCTGCCTTCCTTGATTAGCACGAAAGTTGGCATAGCTCGAATGCCATACTGCCTGCTTATATCTGAAAAATGGTCAGTCAAAACAAACAAAGCGAAGATGATGGACAAGAAAACGAAATCATATTTCAAAAGGAAGTATAGAGAACAGTAAAACCACCATAATGCCTTAGTCACTCTCACTTAGTACCAATTTAAGATGCTGACCGAACTTGTTGACATCGAATTAAATTTCCGATGCAGCAATGCTTTTGGAGTTGTTTACACAGAGAACAATGTGTAAACAAAACTGCAATGATGCTCAAATGCTTCGCGACAAATATCAGCTTCCATTACACTTAATTATTTCTGTTCGGTTACCAAACATGTAGGCCTATCCCCAGAGGATAGATTCCCTCGACAAGTTCACATGGGAATCGGAAAGATGATTCAGGTTTTGAAAAATAAAGAGTTAGAAATAGTAACCTGGTGAATTATCGACGTTGACTTTCAGGAATGTGGCATTTGTGAATCGTGAAGAGAACTGTTCAACAATAGGTGCAATAAATCGACATGGACCACACCAATCAGCATAGAAATCCACGACGAACAAGCGATTTCGATCTGCTGAACCGATTTTCGACTGGAAGTCTGTCAGATTGCGTGACAAATGGACAGGCATTTATATGAATCTGAAAATAAGGAATGAAATTTTGAAAAGTATATCGTAAAAGAAAGCTGGATTGTTAAAGTTATAAGCAGCAAACTAGCTTATGATGATGATATGAACCGCCGCGGCCGCATCGGCCGTGGGTCAGGCGCCGAAACCAAGCCCACATGTGCAAATACAGAAAAAAAATCTAAATTAATCGATCAGGCATACCACTAAGATATGTGGGTGTTCTTCTAAATATTTGCACTCTGACGATAACAAATGTAAAGAAATGACAAACTCGAAGAGAAGATAAGACGAAAATGCATAAATCATTTGTGTATTTTCAGTAGGCTTCATAAGCTTACATTCTGGTTTCGCTTCTATACTTCTGTGGAGGTATAGGTAAGACCATGCTCGGGAATTTCTGCTCACCGACCACATTATGTCTGTGCTGTTTATTCGACATGAAATCTGGCCAGCAACAACTCTTTTGCATCGATCACCCTCAAACCACATGAAGGGTCCATCACAAACGATTTTTAATTATTTCGTATACAGGGCTGATCTTCGTTCAGAGACAGTGTCGGAAACTTCGAACTCCCGTCTGAGCATGATTATGTCGGCGATTGTTTTTGTTCGGACTAAAACAAGTCTAGTTGAAGCTCAGAGATTAACAATATCTCTCTTATTTACAAAGCAGTAACTTGGTGTGTCGATTTGTAGTGTGTGCTTCGAAACCATGGTTTTGATCCGTACTGCATCGTGCTATGTATGGCTGCTTTCATAATCCACGATTTGGCCCGCGACCGGCCGCGCGACTGGTCGAGCGACAGGTCCCGCGATCGGTCGCGGGCCAAACGCGGACTATGAAAGCAGCCTATGTCTATTTAAAAATCGGAGTGGTAATGCAGTTGAGGAACCTCCGCTTTTTTAACGGTGAACGCTAAAGCGCAAATAAGGTTAGCCCATAATTGTGCTCAGAAACATTTTAGACGAAAACATATTGTTTTTGACCTGAGCGTGAAGAGAGAAGGAGCACGGCGGTGGGTGAGTCAATTGTATATTCACATCATACCGCGTCCTAGCTTTTTGCACGCGGTCATTATCTCACCCCCTCCCCGGCGCTTCTCCTCTCCTGAGGCTTAGGTAAATTAAGGAACGAGGCCCGGCGTAAGCCGTGCCACCCGACTGGTTTTGAAATATTTCAGGGATGTAATGAGTAATATCCATTCCATAACCAATTGTATGGGCTGAGACCGAAGCTAAAAATAGGGCACCAAAACTGCAGGCCGAGAAAAATTGTTGGCCAAGGAACCGGGCGTTCATTGTCTGCTTCGCAACTCATTAAATATTCTTGTGAACTCCTCACGTTTCCTTCTTCTCCACGCTTGATTTAAGCCGTCCATCATAACATCAAAATATTTTAACACATTAAAATACTTCTCAGGTAGAGCGTAGGTGCAGCATCAGCAATGAATCTGCTTCCCTTTAGACATGATTTTCATTGAGATTAGCTGAGAACCAATTTGCATTTTTACGAACGCCATCGAGTGCAGCCAGCTGTCATCTGCTTCGTGGGCTGTGTTGTCAGCCTACGCTGGTCAGAAAGTGGAATTGGTGCAGTTAGCAGCATAGACATCTATTTTTTTTCCAATCCATGTCACATAACACATTTCCAAAAGCAACATTGAAAAGTTTGGGCAAAATTGGATATCCAAGTCCACTAGATAGTCCAGACCACACTCTTCTTTACACGTAGGTCTTGCAGAAGACCGAAATTTGGTCGTAAACATGCCATAAAGCTTGTGATGTATGTTCTGTTGTTGAGGAGGGATACTTTGGTTGCCAGCTTTTCGATAACCGCTGGAGACATTGAGGGAAGTCAGACATCTTCGAAACAGTGGTCGTAAAGCGGAACGAAACCTCAAACCAGCCCATTATTGTGTGAATATGATCAATCGTTAATAACTTTTCGGAGCTTTATTGCTCAATTAACTGTCTTCATCGATTCGTTGGTGAATCTTGTTGGGGAACAAGATAGATTTTCGATGTCCAAGCCACAGTGTGATGGGCTCCGAAATAATCATCCGTACAATAATCCTACATCGTGGTGACCACGATGTAGGATTATTGTACCGATGTTGAGCAGCAAGATACTGAAGGAACAATATATCCGTCCTACCTCAAGAGATCGGTAGCAAGCCGACATGGCTGTTGGAACCGTAAGAGCAAAAGTGCTGAATAACCATCTGTATCGCCTTTTCAGATGCAGTGACTGTCCTGTCTGAATGTCGAGAGTTTGTCAATTTGTCTCTCATAATATAGCGAAGTAAATCAATCAGAAAGAATTGTGAAAATGGACCTCGTGTGTACGGAAGTCGCAAACTTATGCGACCTGCCGCATACATAGTACCTGCGTCAAAGCAAAACGCATATATCTGCACTAAGATATCTCGACCGTTTGCAAGGGATCGCTACAGGACCGCTTAACTCTGTTAGATGTATGGTAAAGAAGTGTGTTTTAGGCTTCTGGCGCAGGTAGTATAAATGCACGGGTGGCGATATTTTCGCCTGAATTCCATTCGCATGCGGTATTGGTCTCGCGGCAATTTAATCATTTACCCAGTGAAAATCCAAATCATCCTATTCGCAGCAGGCGCGACTGCGCGCAAAAGTATGCGGCGAGCGCGACACGCGGTTCCGATAAAGGAACCCACACCCTAGATGCGTCCCTAAGGCGTCACAACGGGCCAAGATAGTTTATTACTTGTCAGTCCCCTCTGTTAGAGATAGTTTCAGTGGTATTCATTGGAGACCGATCTATTGAGTTTTCTACGACGCAGCACCGGGTAGGACGAATATTACCTGAACAAAAATTACAAGAGAACAATCAGTAGTACTCAGAAAGTAGTATTAGTCCACGATAATCTGGATCTGTCTTGAGGAACACTCCACCTGCCTCAACCAACCACTGCTAAACGCTCATTCGGGAAGGAAGGCGCAAAATCGAAAATAGTTTGCCATTGTGCAGGGGTCTCATGATCTCAAAGCAGTGCGATTTATTGCAGTGGTTCTTCCATTTTTGGAGAACTGGAAATCCAAACACTGTTTGGTTCGGTCTCGCTCACAGTTCAATTTACTACGATTCCGTATGTTTGAAATCGCGTTTCTGCTCGCGTATAGCTGTTATTTCAATCCAATAAATCATTCAGCTCATTTGGAACCTTATAGATTGGTGCTGATTTCGTTCTGAGTGGTCAACTATTTTCAACTTTTGCATTGATCACTTTGGAGATCATATTGGATACAACTTTGTTCAACACTGAATGCCCTTTTTCCTTTTTGTTTCCATATCTCACGTTGTTCTACAACGCGTAATTATAAAAAGATTCCAATACCATTTAGATGGCAGATAAAATGCCACATGATCAACTGTCCTTGCTGAAAAGCTATGTTGCAGGACAAGTTGTATGGATTACCGATTCTATCGCATATCGATTTACGCCGCAGCCGTCAGCCACTAGAGCCGTGGACTATGAGTGCTCCCAATGAATTTTAACGAGAGACACATGTGGTCTGCAACTAGAGGTAAAGTTTGATAGTTTTAGGGTTTTATTTCAGCTTAATTTTGTGATTTTAAATTTTTGCTCGTTGATGCTACCCTTTACTGAGCATGTTCTGATGAGTATTCGTTGATACTTTCTTTTTCAAAGAAATAGTCAAAATTCCAAAACTTAAAATAACATTAAAACAATGGGGTCATTCACTAGTAGTAGGTCAGTAGAGACAGATTTTCAAATCTCGTACATCCCTACCACGCTGCGCTCTTGAGAGGCAGCTATTGTTCAACTAAAAATAACCGAGGCGTTGTAGACGCAATTTGGGTAGCCGTCGTACCAGCCGTTTATTACCACAGCGTGTCATTTATGTGGTTAGGGAATAACACTAGCTTGCGTGGCAAGCTGTAATGTTAAAAACCGTGTTTCACTATGGGGTTGACAGCACGAAACGGAAAGAATAGAATAAGTAAAACTTAAGAAGAGTAATCGTCATGGTTTGTTTTTTTCTTTGCTTAGATGACAGTTATTCATTCAAAGAAGTAGGTATGCTTGTTGATTGGGTTGTTTTCATATTTTGAGTATTTCAGTTATTTTAGTACAAACGTTCTCTTTGAGCGTGAAAGCTTCTTTGCGCTGGAGGTCTAACGCTCTCCCTAATGTTTTTGTGTAGCGCTTAAGTACGTTACCCATTTCTGTCATTTGATGTTACTTATTTTGCTCTTTCAATCGGTTTAAACGGATCAAAAGCACATTTTCACTGATTTGCTGCAACGTAATGAGCAAGCTCCATTTTTGATGAATCTCGTTGCGGGTGAAGCATCATGACTACTATTCGAAAATGTAGAAGAAAGTAGATTTGCGGGTCTCCGAGTGTTGCTCCAAAGAGAAACCAAAAGATTCCTATATAAGAAGGCCACGTCGTGTATATGGCGAAGAATTGGGTGATTTGGTGGACGATGTCAAGGAGTGGATCACCTGTATCACCTGTCGTCCCGTTGATGGCATCTTTCATAGTCCACGATCGGTCGCGCGACCGATCGCGCGACTGGTCGCCGGTCGCTAGCGACTGGTCGC